TGGATGGTTGGTAACCGTTTTCCATAGCGTCTTACCAGATCTTTTTCATAATTTGTATCTGACACTGGAGGAATATTAATCTGAGTATTCCATTGCTGTAAGAGATCACGACCCCAGAGATTTATAGCTATATCTGCCACGTATGGTTTCAGTATCCATTTCTGTCCTTCCGTTCCAATGCAGACCACTGAGTTAACACTCTGTCCAACTCTAGAATTCCAATTCCTAAAAATTGTACATTTGCCTCTCTAAGAGGCCATTTCTGAGGCCAAGACTTTTGAGTAATAATAGTTACATCTGCCCCAGTGTCCACTAAGCCAGAAATAACTTTATTATTAACCTTCACTTTCAACTGAGGCCTTTTATCAGTCAAAATATGCGTTTTTCATTTTGTCCATTCACATTTGATTCTTCATCACTATTCAAACTACCATCTAGAGCAGTATTATTTTTCAAAATAGGCAAAGAACTATCTATTCGTCCTGTGAGAGATTGTCTCCCACTGCTGGGAATGACCTGACCTTTCTCGATGTGGGGGACTTCTTGAGGCCCCCCCTCAGGGTTTCCGGACCTTAAGGGGTTTCTTTGTATGTCCCTGGTCGATCTACATTCATTGGTCCAGTGTCTGCCCTTACAACATCTTCTACACAATCCAGAAGGCAGTGGCCTTCCATATGAGGCATTGTTAGAATTCATTTGTCTACAATTTCTCTTAGTATGTCCCATTTTACCACAGTTGAAACATCTAGGTTCCTGGAGCCTTCGTGGTCTCCAGGGGAAGGCTCTTCCTACCCAAGGTTCTGGTTCATAGTAGTAGTAACCTCTAGCCTCTTGGTATCTATGTTGACCTCTGTAAGGTGCTTCTCCTTGCCAAGCCCTTACATCCTCACCTCTAGACCTTTTAATTTCCTGTTGCCGTTTTAAACCTTTGGAGATGGCTTCTCCTACCCAAGCTCCAGTATCTTGCACATTATAGTCAATGTGGGCTGCATACAAAACCCATTCTTCTAACGGAGCTGATCTGATCTTTAAAGGCAAAAGTATTCTTTTGCATATAGGGTTTGCATTTTCATAAGCTATTGTATATATAATTGATTGTCTTGTTTCTGGATCTGTTACCTGTAATTCTACTGCCCTAGTTAACCTTTGTAAGAAGTCCTGGAACTGTTCTGTAGGTCCCTGTTCTATTCTGGTATAAGCTTCTAGACGTTCTCCTGGCTCACGAACCTTATCCCAGGCATTTAATGCTGCTTTCCTGCAAAGAGACAGTATATCGTCATCATATTTAGCCTGAACCTGTGGGTCAGCATAAATACCCTGACCAAGAAGCTTATCTAGAGGGGCTTCAAAACCTTCCTTTATGCCCTGACGTTCAAGGAGCTTTGCCTCTTCCCTTACCAAGGCCTTCCACTGGATTTGGCATGAATTCTCAAGTACAGCTGCTACCAATCGTTCCCAATCTGTGGGTGTCACCCTGTTAAAGGTTGCCCATGAATGTAATAGCTGTTTTACGTATGGGCTATGGAGACCATATGAGACAACTGATTCTTTAATATTCTTAAGATCCTTCGGCTGTATAGGTTGCCATTCATAAACCATTCGTCCATGAGGGTGTTTCTTAGAAGCTGGCTTTTCTACCATGGCAGCTGGGTACACTAATGGTGTACGAGTAACAACCTTAGAAGAATAGTCACGATACCTGGGTGGAGTAGGTGCCTGGGATTGGAGTGATTCTGCTTCTGAGGCATCCCACTGATCTTTAAGCCTAGCAATGATATCCTTTTGAAAAGTTTCAATCTCCTTAATCATAAAAGATTCTAAGCACGTTAGTGAATCTGTAAATTGCTCTAACTGCTCATCTACACGTTTTTCTAGGTCTTTCATACGATCATCCTTAGACAGCATCTGGATGGCATGGAAACTGCCTTCTAGGTATTGGAGTCTAGATTCCAGGTCATGATTTGCTGATTTTGAGTCCTCAGCAATCGACCGTATGGACCTATGTAATCTGTCAGCCCTGTACTGATGTGGAGGATCACTCTGTGTTTATCTTATCATAAATACACTGCATCTCATCATACAGCTCTGTCTTTAGTGTATTGGACACAGAGCCAAGCTTATCCTCCAATTTCTGTTCCACTTGCTGCACAATTGTGAAAACCTCATTGCTTAAAGCTGTTATTTCCTGCAAGCAGGTGGTGAGGTCATCTCTGTCCCTGTTCCTGAGGTCTTTAGCTAGTAATGTTATTTGTACCAGGACGCTAATTCCTGCTGCTGCATATAGGCAGGTGATTGGCAAATCAGCAACCTCTTCGATCATTGAATTCACGTAAGAAGCAAAAATATTACCAATTGAAGCAAATGATAAATATTCTGCCATGATTTGACCAGTGGGTGGCACAGGTGTTCAGTGAGTCCGCGGCGTTTGGCAGCAGTCGGTCACTGGTGGAGAGAGGTCACAAAAGCGGCTGCGCTTATCTTAGAGAGTATACGGCTTTGCGGCTGCAACCACTGAAACATGGGGCTTTCCCTCAGCAGCGGCCAGGGGAAGCCTCTGCTGAAAGCCCAGGCTTACTCACCTCTAGGCAGCTAGAAACTGTCTCTGAGCTGGGTGGATGGTTCTGAGCAGCTCAGCTGCAGCAGGTTGGCTGCTAGCCGGGCACGCCTGTGGAGAGAGGGCGCTTTCCGGGCCTAGGCCTCGGGCCCGATGTAACCCACAGCCTGTCCCAAATGGGGTGTAGGTTTCCAATATCCCACTTCTGACACCAGATATAGTGGGAAATTACCAATATGGAGTCAGGTAGAAATATAAGGGTATTTAATAGGGAAAAGCCTTACTTATAGAGCAACCTAGCCAGCCAGTGGGTCAGCAGCCTGTACTGCAAGTATCAAAGAGAAACCGAAACCGAAAACACAGTCACACTACGTCACTCTGACCACGCCCTCACAAGCCTGGTCAGGCACACCTGTAGCCAGCCCCTAAGAAGGCGTGGCTACAGCTTCCCCTACAAATAGCCAGTACTCTTAACTGTTGAACCATTTCTACAGCACCTTTTTCTAACTCTTTAAGGGGTTTGTTGAGGTCTGAAAAGCTAAGTCCTTCACTATGACTTGAAGGTTATTCTGAGGGATTTTCCATTTTCCTGTATATTTAGCTGTACTCTGAGCAGATGACATGAAGCTTTCAGCCCTGTTTTAATCTTGTGGAACCACTGTTGAGTATGCATTTTCCACCTCCTCCAAACAACATTGTCAATTGAAGCATCATTTGACATTATTGTATGACATACTTGTGATGTTGGGAGATAGTGATACCTTTAAGAATTAGTCTGTGAAAAATGAATGGACTGATGTCTGCAGAAAGCACTGGCATGGCTCTCATTAGTTCCTGTAACAGAAAGTTGTCATGAAAACAGCAAACCTTGCTCCTAAATCTATTTTCACATCTTTCTTTTTGTTCTCCCTCCCTCCCTCCCTCCCTCCCTCCCTCCCTCCTGTGTTTCCACCATAATGACATGTACTGTTACAACAGTGAGAGGAGCCTTTGCAAAGATGCTGTATCGTCCTCTTGGACCTTCAGAATTGTGAACTAAATCAATGTTTTTCTTTTTATAAAGTATCAAACCTCCAGTATTTTGCCATAGCAACATAAGATGAAACAAGCCACCATCTATTACCTACTGTATTCCATTCATACCCCCTGAAAGAGCAGAGTTAACATTTGCAGTGCTTAGCAAATTTTTATTCTGAAATGCTAGCCAGTGGATTGGTGCTCAGATAGTTACATAATCACCCAGGTATGTTTATAGATTCCCAACTTTATTGTCTCCTCTATTTTTTTGTGAGTTGATAACGTAATAGTACCTGGCTGGGTGGTGGTAGTGCACACCTTTAATCCCAGCACTCAGGGAGGCAGAGGCAAGTGAATCTTTTTGAGTTCAAGGCCAGCCTGGTCTACAAAGTGAGTTCCAGGACAGCCAGTGTTACACAGAGAAACCCTGATTCAAAAAAACAAACAAAAAAACTCCAAACAAACAAAAAAGAATTAATAGTACCTGTTAGTTTAAGGTCTCCATCAGACAAATATGGAAATTATTATCCCAGAGGCTTCTAGAAGCCTTGGTATCTAAGTCAACAACCAATTAGTAGGATTTCTGTATGGAAGTTACTATCACATGTTCTTATTTTTCCCTCTAAATTTACAGGTTGGACTGTGTAAGAAGCAAAATGTTGGTAGCAGTCTTTGGAGTGTTTTCTGTTGCCATGTCAGTGGTGAGTGGCTTTGGCCTGATGCTGCACATAGGGGTCCCATTTGTGATCATAGTTGCAAATTCACCGTTTCTTATTCTTGGTGAGTAAAACAAAATAAGAAGTTGTGTTGAGTCTGTAGGTATATGAAGTGGACAAGGAGGTACATTTGTGTAGGAGACTTAAGCAACAGGAAGAACAAATTGAATTATCTATCTTCAGAGTTGGAAATATATAGTATTCCAGATAAATAAAGGAAAGAAATATGCACTTTAGTTCACACAGAAAATACAACAAGAAATCTTTTGTATCAAGGGATATACACTAAACTAAAAAAAGGAGGGGGGTTTGTAGATTAATTGGTACTAGTGAGACCATTTTGGAATGTTTTATGTAAACGAGTGCCCAAGATTCTGCTGTAGGAAATGTATAAATTGGTTTGTGTTCCCCAAGTTTATAGCAAAGAACTATCGACCAACAATTTCATTTCTATAAAATTTATTTGATAAATGTAATTGATCATAAGTAGAACAAATGGGTTTATTTTGGTGTATTTTATAATAAGAAAATACTGAAAATAAACTGAACCCATATCAATATGGCATCTGTCAAATCAAACATATTAAAAAATGGAAACCATATTTTGCCTTTAAAAAAAGACAAATGTAATGAATTAAATGAAAATTTCTCATTATAAATTAAGATACATGCAATGGATAATTACATGGGTATAGTTGCATAGAACAAATTCTAGATGAATTTTTAAAATGTGTTTCAGGTTTATCCTTTGAAGGGTGATTATAGTTTTTTGTATTTCTGTTTTTAGAATTTGTTTTATAGTAAGTTTATATGTCAAACTATGCAATTTCAGTCCCCCCCTGTAGGTAATAGGTGGGTTTATACTGCACATCAGTTTAGCCCTCCTCTTCAAAGTACACCTTCATGTTTGTACACTCAGCCACTGTGCCCATAGTTATGAATAACTGTAGGGAGATATATTTATTGTAAGCCAGTCTATATTCACTGTATTTATTCAGTCTGTATCCACAGACGTATAGATTTATATAGAGCATATGTATAGGCAATTCCAACAAGTTAAGAAATATGAGAATTTCTGAACAAATTTCTCTAAGTATATAAAATAATTTTTTAAAAAACCTGAGATACCATTGCATTCCACTCTTGGTTCTCAGTGCCTCTGATTGTTTCCTTTGTTCAGCTTGAGTCTTAAGCTAATAGTCCTAGGGTGCTACCCTACAGTCTATGTAGCTTTGTGCAAGTTTTTGACCTTTCTACCTCAATCATGTCCATGAATATCTTAACTACAGGCCAGCTTGTAATTCCCAGTGCTCTCCTAACCTTAACCTATGAGAAAGAAGTAAAGATCAGCATTGCATTCCCAAAACCTTCTGTTAAACACACATGGAAATAAAAGCACAAGTGAGTGCAAGTAGTCTCACCTGCAGTCTAATGTCGGAGGGAAATGGAATTCATTGTCAGCAGGCTCGGACTGTCTAGTCTCCTTGCTTTTCTCTCCTCATTCTTTTTTCCATTGTTAATGTCAAAGCTCTCAAATATTCTTCAAATCTGTTTCAAGCCAACCATGCAATGGCGCCATGGAAAAGGATCCCAAAGATTCACTTTTGCACACCTTTCTCATATCAGGACCAGTGAAACAGTCTGTCACCACATGCTAGGTGTCAAATAGAAACCACCAGGGACACTAGATTTGTGCATATGCCTGGAAGTAAATCTATAAAGTGGGTGCTATAATAAAAATGGCACAACTTGGAATGCCTTATGCTACCTGAAAACACATTTGCCAACTCCTATTTCAAGCAAACAATGTTTGATGGATGTGTTTGCATATTAGTTGAAATGGCTCATGGGATCAAAGATAGATTGCTGATTCTGTTTCAACTGGCATGCTGTCACACAGATGTTCTCATTTTATCACAAAGACACCCTGGGGAAACACTAGAGAGTATGCTATGCACTAACAATGTAGGTATGTACAAAGCTAAGACTTATTACAGAGGAAGAAGTGACAAATTCCAAGACCAACTGAGAAGATGGTATTTAAGGGGAGATCTGCAAGACAAGCAATAGAAAATGCTCAGTTATTTAATATTTAATGTGTATTATTAATATATAGGAATATCTGTTCTTTTGTTACAGGTGTTGGGGTTGATGACATGTTTATTATGATTTCTGCCTGGCAGAAGACCAGCCTCACGGAAAACATAAGAGAACGACTCTCCAATGCATATTCAAAGGTGGCAGTGTCCATTACAATCACCACTGTCACCAATGTCCTTGCTTTCTATACAGGAATCACCAGTTCTTTTAGATCTGTACAGTATTTTTGCATCTATACAGGAACCACGCTGCTCTTTTGCTATTTTTATAATATCACCTGTTTTGGAGCAATTATGGCTCTAGATGGTAAAAGAGAAATTACATGCTTCCGCTGGCTGGAAAAGCCAGACCAAAAATATGCCTCATTAAAAAAATCCTGCTGTGTCCCATTTGGTTCAGCCCCAGATGAACATGGAGAAGACAAGCATCCAATGAATTTGTTCTTTAGAGACTATTTTGGTCCTTTCCTCACAACGGCCAAAGCCAAGTTTTTTGTAGTGCTGATATATATTTTTTATATCGTAAGCAGTATATACGGATGCTTCCAAGTGCAGGAAGGGTTAGATCTTCGGAACCTGGCAAGTGATGATTCCTACATCACACCATATTTTAATGTTGAAGAAGATTATTTCTCAGATTATGGTCCAAGGGTTATGGTCATTGTTACTGAAAGTGTTAACTACTGGGATGGTGATGTAAGACAGAAACTGGACAAATGTATGTTAAAATTTGAAGAAAATGAATATGTAGATAAAAATCTCACAGAGTTTTGGTTGGGAGCTTATATTCAATATATGAATAGCAGTGGAAATGATCCTAATGACAAGAATACATTTATGAATAATATTTCAGGGTTTTTAAAAATGTATCCTGTTTTTACATTTGATGTTAATATTTCCTCATCAAATGAAATCACTTCTTCCCGGGGCTTCATCCAGACTGTAGAGGTTTCTTCCTCAAGCAATAAGAAGAGAATGTTACTACAGTTACGAGGCATAGCTGAAAACTGTGAAGTTCCCTTAATGGTGTATAACCAAGCATTCATATATTTTGATCAGTATGCTGCAATAATAGAAAACACTGTCCGAAATATCATGGTTGCATCAACAGCTATGCTCATTGTTTCCTTATTGTTAATCCCTCACCCAGTGTGCTCCTTGTGGGTTACTTTTGCTATTGCTTCTGTGATTGTGGGAGTTACCGGTTTCATGGCATTCTGGAATGTTAATCTTGATTCCATATCCATGATTAATCTTGTTATTTGTATAGGTTTTTCTTTTGATTTTTCTGCACACATCTCCTATGCATTTGTTTCCAGTACTGAGACCTCAGTAAACAAAAAGTCAATTGAGGCCTTATATATGCTAGGCTATCCAGTGTTGCAAAGTGCAATTTCAACAATAATAGGGGTGTGTGTTTTATCTGCAGCTAAAGCTTACATCTTCAGGACATTTTTTAAGATTATGTTTCTTGTTATGTTTTTTGGGGCTGCTCATGGCCTAGTTTTTATTCCAGTATTCTTAACCTTTTTTTGAAAGTTAGTTTGAATACACAGTAACAAATAACCCTAGCCAGTTATAGAATTCCTAACAACCTGAATCCAGTCTTATTATAAAATGTACTAATTAAGACTAGTCAATAGAAAAAGAGATGAAATTAGAAGGGGCATTTCAGGATAAGAAGAAGCAGGGGTGAGGGTTAGAGGGAAGGGAGGTAATGTGGGACTAAACAAAGCACATTGTATACATGTATGAAAATGTCTCAATAAAAACCATTAGTTTGTCCAATTGGTATACACTAATGAAATATGAATTATTAATGTATAACTGAAAACAGATATAAATTGTTAAAAATAGTCATTTCACTTTAAAGATGTTTCCTTGGCTTTGAAGTTCTTTAATATATTCTGAGAAAAATTAAAATATCTTTACTTAATTGATAGAAGTGTTATCATCTTTATTCCAGTGTCTACAATAAGTCTTAGTTTTCTATTGCTGTGATAAAGACAATGACCAAAATAAACTTTGGAAGGAAAGGGTTTATTTCAGTTTATAGCTTACAACCCATCATGAAGGGAAGTCAGGACAGGAACTTGGAGGCAGGAACTTAGACAGAGACTATTGAAAAAAATGCTACTTACTGGATTGCTCCTCATGGCTTGCTCAGCCTAGTTTTTTACATACCCTAAGACACCTCTCCAGGGATGGACCTACCTAAAATTGGCTGGGCTCATAAAGGAACTATAAGCTAGATCCTAAGGGTAACGAGCTGTCAAAGATAAGACCTCTCTCTCTCTCTCTCTCTCTCTCTCTCTCTCTCTCTCTCTCGCTCCCTCTCCCTCTCCCTCTCCCTCTCCCTCTCCCCAAGACAGGGTTTTTCTGTGTAGTTCTGGCTGTCGTAGAACTCACTCTGTACATCAGACTGGCCTTAAGCTCAGAGATCTGCTTGCCTCTGTCTCCTGAGTGCTGATATTAACGGTGTGTGCCAACCCTGCCACCTCTAACATAACACTTTTTGAGAACCTACGTGTAGTGAGATATCCACCCCACCCATTTGGGAGTGGTCACAGGTTCGGACATGAAGGAGCATAGGACTAGGTCTGGGGTCCTGGACTCCAGTGCTCTCTCTTGCTTCCAGTCGGGTCACAGAGGGCAGCCTGGGTGAATCCTTGGAGCTGGAACTTGCAGCTGTCACCCACTTCTTGTATAAGTGCATTCTCCCCAAATAAACTTCACTTAACCTGTACTGAGTCTAGTGGATCTTGATTCCCACACAATACAAAATGTAGTTTTTTGAAGGAGAATAGTATTTAACTAAGGATATGATAAAGTTAAATTGAGTGAAACATTTATCCAACATCAAATTTCAGATGTCCATGTTCAGGCTCAGACCATGCCTGGTTTGAAATACCTTTCCTTCTAGTGTTGTTCATTTGACTTGTGGGGAGAACTGGGATGGCTGTGGGAACCCGACACTTGATTCAGGAGGACCGGTCACCACCCACGGGATGGCTGAGGGAACCCGACACTTGATTCAGGAGGAACGGACCGCACCCACGGGATGGCTGAGGGAACCCGACACTTGATTCAGGAGGAACGGACCGCACCCACGGGATGGCTGAGGGAACCCGACACTTGATTCAGGAGGAACGGACCGCACCCACGGGATGGCTGAGGGAACCCGACACTTGATTCAGGAGGAACGGACCGCACCCACGGGATGGCTGAGGGAACCCGACACTTGATTCAGGAGGAACGGACCGCACCCACGGGATGGCTGAGGGAACCCGACACTTGATTCAGGAGGAACGGACCGCACCCACGGGATGGCTGAGGGAACCCGACACTTGATTCAGGAGGAACGGACCGCACCCACGGGATGGCTGAGGGAACCCGACACTTGATTCAGGAGGAACGGACCGCACCCACGGGATGGCTGAGGGAACCCGACACTTGATTCAGGAGGAACGGACCGCACCCACGGGATGGCTGAGGGAACCCGACACTTGATTCAGGAGGAACGGACCGCACCCACGGGATGGCTGAGGGAACCCGACACTTGATTCAGGAGGAACGGACCGCACCCACGGGATGGCTGAGGGAACCCGACACTTGATTCAGGAGGACCGGCCACCACCCACGGGATGGCTGTGGGAACTCCACACTTGATTCAGGAGGACCGTCACCACCCATTATTACCACCCCAGCAACATCTTTTATCCAGCTGTTGGTCTTCATTTTAAGTTGAGGGGCAGAGGTCAGGGAACCCGTTGACATCTACTCAGGCCACACTGGGAACAGTGAATAAAGAGGTCTAGAAGGGAAAGAAGACACCAGCATACAAAACTTCATAGAACATCCCCTTAAAATGGTTTGTATTGGGCGGAAAATAGAGCTCAGTGGTTCAATTTTTGCCTAAAATGTATGGACCCTGGGTTCAATCCCCAGTATTATAAAAATAATTTCTAAAACGTGTTTTGTATTGATACTTATATTTTACAGTCAGATATTTCCATTTTGCTGTACAGGTGTATAATTTTTTGGCAAATGCAAATAGTTTCATAACCATTGCCTCCTTCAAGCTGTAAAACTAGCTGAACATGATAGTGTGTACCGTTATACCCACACTTTGGAGAGAGACGTGGGAGGTAAAGGCCAGCTTGTGCAACATGAGACTTTGTATTTATAAAAACAAGCAAAACTAAAAAGAGAACAGACCCAGCACCCCCAAACTCAGTGATGTGGTAGCTGTGTCTCCCACAGCCCTTGATGAGGTAGTTAGTGAAGCATAATCACTCATCTTTTGTTTGTGTGGCCCTTTAATTCAGAAATTTGTCCCTCTCCTCTGGTTGGTAACAGGGCTGATAGGAGGGTGTCAAAATATATTCTGTACATCCAGTGGCACAGGAGGCATCAGGTTACTGAGTCAGCCCTAGCATTGCCTCTGTGGTTATTTTCTATTCATAGAGTTTGCTTGCCTCAGATATTTGTTACATGGATGGAATTAGGTGGTATGTTGGATATAGCTTCTTTGACAATTCTCAGTTAATTTGAGATTTACTGACTATGTCCTTGAGCTTTACAGAAGCTTCTCAGTTTCAGGAAGTCCCATTTATCAATTGTTGATCTCAGTGTCTGTGCTACTGGTGTAATGTTCAGGAAGCAGTCTTCTGTACCAATTCATTCCAGGGTATTTCCAACTTTGTCTTCTAATAGGTTCAGTGTTGCTGGAATTATGTTGAGGTCTTTGATCCATTTTGACTTAAGTTTTGTGTGCGTTGATAGACTTGGATCTATCTGCAGTCTTCTACATTCCAGCATGCAGTTATGCCAGCACCATTTGTTGAAGATGCCTTCTTTATTCCATCGTCTAAATTTAGCTTCTTGGTCAAAAATCAAGTGTTCATAGATGTGTGGGTTAATATTGGGGTTTTCCACTCTATTCCATTGGTCCACCTATCTATTTTTCCAATACCACACTGTTTTCAGGACTATAGCTCTGTAATAGAGCTTGAAGTCAGGGATGGTAATGCCTCCAGAAGTTCCTTTAGTGTACAGGGTTGTTTTGTCTATCCTGGGTCTTTTGTTTCCTCATATAAAGTTGAGAATTGTTCTTTCAAGGTCTGTGAATAATTGTGTTGGGATTTTGATGGGGATTGCATTGAACCTGTAGATTGCTTTTGGCAAGATTGACATTTTTACTATGTTGATCCTACCTATCCAAGAGCATGGGAGATCTTTCCATTTTCTGGTATCTTTAATTTCTTTCTTTAGAGACTCAGAATTCCTATGGTACAAGTCTTTCACTTTTTTGGTTAGTGTTACCCCAAGGTATTTTATGTTGTTTGTGGCAATTGTAAAGGGTGATGTTTCTCTGATTTCTTTCTCCACAAATGTGTCATCAGTATATAGTAGGGCTACAGATTTTTTTGAGTTAATATTTTATTCTACCACTTTGCTGAAGGTGTTTATCAGCTGTAGGAGTTCCCTGGTAGACTTTTCCGGGTCACTTATGTAGACTATCATATCATCTGCAAATAGAGAAAGTTTGACTTTTTCCTTTCCAATTTGTATCCCTTTGATCTCCTTTTGTTGTCTTATTGCTCTAGCTAGAAATTCAAGGACAATATTGAAGTATGGAGAGAGTGGACAGCCTTGTCTTGTCCCCAATTTTAGAGGAATTGCATTGAGTTTCTCCCCATTTAATTTGATGTTGGCTGTTGGCTTGCTGTATGTTGAGTTTCCTGTTATCCCTGATTTCTCCAAGACCTTTATCATGAAGGGGTGTT